CACTTTAGTTTTGTATATTTCACTGTATGTAAATTATATTTCAATAAAAAGTATTTTTTAAAAATTATGCCCTGTGAGTATTTTGCTATTTTAAAAAAGTTTGCTCCTAGGGAATATGAATTCTGACAAGCAATAAGGTCATTTCACTACCATAACAGGAAAAAAAATAATACTACTACAAGGAAATCTTGTGCTTGTAAAGGGTGGCTGGTACTTACCAGCCTTATAAAATTCCATACAACTCCAATGAAGATGGTGATAGCCTATTCCTAAAATAGCCTTTATTTTTAAACCTATTTTCTGCATCAGTGATGCTTATATCCTATATCTTTGTTAACACTTACCCGTGATTTTTTGCAACAGCAGTGACAACTTGGATTCCTCACAAAAGACCTGAGCCAATGCTTTCTTGACTTTTTCCTCAGCCTCACCCAGGTCTTTGTCCACTGTGAATTCTCCAGCGACAGAATAAATGTATATCAGGAGGATCAGCAGCTCTTCAGGGCTATAGTCATCTTTGGTCCTCTGGTTAAAAGGCTTTATCATGGGCAGCAGCTGATTTAACACAATAGACATCGCAGACTCCCCAATGCTCTGAAATAAAAGTGGATAATATAAAAAAATGTCAATCTTGTACAAAGATGTAGGATATGCAACAAATTGATCCAAATACATCTTACAAACAAATCTGTGAGGTTCATTGTCCTAATTGTTTTATCTGTTTGTTCTTGTCCTTGAGAGAATATTGCAAGAACTTTGATATTGGCTAGTCAAGTCACAGACCCTTTTATATCATCTTACATATAGTTTAAACATAAAAAGTCTACTAATTTTAAGAATTAGTATGTGAGTGCTTCAGCACAGGAAATTTTAAATGTCATTTAGGGTTAAAGATTTCTTTGGGTTTGTCTGAAGGTAATTCACCTGATAAATTTAACTTTTTTTTTTTTTTTTTTTGCTTTAGCTCTTCCCTCAAATTCTTGAGTGATATTAAGCAGAAAATTCCCAAATCCGTTGCATGTGATAATAACATTGTACTACAAGAATAAATGCATAACTTAGTCTTCCAAGAAAATATGCGTATTTCTAGATTAAATTCCGATATTTTTGATGACTAAGTAAGTTCTCATTTTAAATAATGTGATTTAATCTCACCTATAATATGAAATCCACCACTTGTCTGTCATACTGTGGGGGCTTGTGTGTTGCTGTGAGGCTGGAGGCTATGCCACTGGTATTTCAAATACCAGCAGGGTCACCCATGGTGGACAGGTTTCAGTGAAGCTTACACACTAAGACTGGCTAAGAAGAAAGAAAGGGCCACCCACTTCTCAAAGAACTGGCCAGTGAAAACCATATGAATAGCAGTGAAACACTGTCTGATATTTTACTGGAAAATTTTATGAATAGCTCTGAAACACTGTACAATATAGTGGCAGAAGATGAACCCCTGAGGTTGGAAGGCACTCAAAATATGACTGGGGAATAGCTGCCTCCTCAGAGTAGAGCTGACCTGAATGATGTGGATGGAGTAAAGCTTTCAAGACCTTCATTTGCTGATGTGGCATGACTCAAAATGAGAAGAAATAGAGCAAACACCCATTATTAATCAGAACAAGGAATGTATGAAGTATGAATCTAAGAAAAATGGAAGTTGTCAAAAATGAAATGGAACACATCGATATCCTAGGTACTACTCACCTAAAATGGATTGGTTTTGGCCATTTTAAATCAGACAATTATATGATGTACTATGCTGGGAGTGACAAATTGAAGAGGAATGGCACAGCATTCATTGTCACAAAGAATGTTTCAAGATCTATCCTGAAGTACAATGTTGTCAGTGATAGGATAATAACCATATGCCTACAAGGAAGACCAGTTAATACTGCTATTATTCAAATTTACGCACCAACCACCAAACCCAAAGATGAGGAAACTGAAGATTTTTGCCAACTTTTGCAGTCTGAAATTGACCAAACATGCAATCAATATGTATTGATCATCACTGGTGATTGGAATGCAAAAGTTGGAAACAAAGAAGAATCATCAGTAGTTGGAAAACACGGCCTTGGTGATAGAGATGACGCTGGAGACCACATGATAGAATTTTGCAAGACCAATGACTCATTACAAATACTGTTTTTCAACAATGTAAACAGTGGCTATACACGTGGACTTCACCAGATGGAATAAACAAGAATCAGATCAACTACATCTGTGGAAAAAGGAGATGGAGAAGCTCAATATCTTCAGCCAAAATGAGGCCAGGTGCTGACTGTGGAACAGACCATCAACTCCTCATATGCAACTTCAAGTTGGAGCTGAAGACAATTAAAACAAATCCATAAGAGCCAAAATATGACCTTGATTATATCCTTCCTCAATTTAGAGACCACATAAAGAATAGATTTGATGCATTTAATGCCAATGACTGAAAACCAGATGAATTATGGGATGACATCAAGAACATCATCCATGAAGACAGAAAAAGTTCATTAAAAAGACAAGAAAGGAAGAAAAGACCAAAATGGATTTAAGAAGGCACTTCGAAACTTGCCCTTGAACGGAAAGTAGCTAAAGCAAATGGAAAAAATGGCAAGATAAAAGAGCTGAACAGAAGATTTCAAAGAGCAGCTCGAGCAGAAAAAGTCGATTATTATAATGAAATGTGCAAAGACTTGGAGTTAGAAAACCAAAAGTGAAGAACATGCTCAGCATTTCTCAAGTTGAAAGAACTGAAGAAAAACTTCAAGCCTTGAGTTGCAATATTGAAAGGTTCAATGGGCAAAATACTGAATGATGCAGGAAACATTAAAAGAAGATGAAAGGAATACAGAGAGTCACTGTACCTAAAAGAATTAGTTGCTGCTCATCCATTTCAGGAGGTGGCATATGATCAAGAACCAATGGTATTGAAGGAAGAAGTTGAAGCAGCACTGAAGCAACTGGTGAAGAACCAGGATCCAGAGAATGATGGAATACCCACTGAGATGTTTCAACAAATGGATGCTGCACTGGAGGCACTCACTTGTCTATAACAAGAAACTTGGAAAACAGGAACTGAGCCAACTGACTAAAAGAGATCCGTATTTGTACCCATTCCAAAGAAAGGTGATCCCACAGAATGTAGAAATTATCAAACAACATCAGTAATATCACATGCAAGTAAAATTTTGCTGAAGATAATTCAAACACAGTTGCAGCAGTATATTGACAGAGAACATCCAGAAATGCAAGCTGGATTCAGAAGAGGATGTGGAATGAGGGATATCACTACTGATGTCAAATGGATCTTAGCTAAAAGCAAAGAATACCAAAAAGATGTTTACTTGTGTTGTACTGACTATGCAAAAGCATTTGATTGTGTGGATCATAACAAATTATGGATAATGTTGAGAAGAATGGGAATTCCAGAACACTTAATTGTGCTCACAACAAAACTGTACATAGACCAGGAAGCTGTCATTCAAACAGAGCAAGGTGAATACTGCATTGTTTAAAATCAGGAAGGGAGTTCATCAGGCTCTTATCTTGTCATCATACTTAATCTGTATGCTGAGCAGATTATCTGAGGAGCTGGACTATATGAAGAAGTGTGTGGCATCAGGATTGGAGGAAGACTCATTAACAATGTGTCATATGCAGATGACACAACTTTGCTTGCTGAAAGTGAGAATAATTTGAAGCATTTACCGATGAAGACTGAAGACTAAGGTCTGCAGTATGGATTACATCTCAACATAAGGAAAATAAAAATTCTCAGAACTGGATGAATAAGCAGCATCACAATAAGTGGAGAAAATATTAAAGATGTCAAAGATTTCATATTACTTGCTTCCACAATCAATGCCAATGGAAGCAACAGTTAAGAAATCAGATGACATATTGTACTGGACAAATCCGCTACAAAAGACCTCTTTAAACCACTGAAGAGCAAAGATGTCTTTTTGAAAACTAAGGTGTGCCTAACCCAAGCAATGGTATTTTCAATTGCATCATATGCATGTGAGAGCTAGACAATGAATAAGGAAAATGGAAAAAGAGTTTACACTTTTGAGTTGTGGTGTTGGCGAAGAACACTGAAAGTACCATGGACTCCCAAAAGAACAAACAAATCTGTCCTGGAAGAAGGGCAGCTGGAATGTTCCTTGGAAGCGAGAATAGCCAGACTTTGTCTCACCTACTTTGATCATGCTGTCAGAAGTGACCATTCTCTGGAGAAGGATATCATCCTTGGTAAAATGTAGGGTCAATGAAAAAGGAAAGGCCCTCATAGAGATGGACTGACACAGTGGCTGCAACAATGGGCTCAGGTACAGCAAGTTTTGTGAGACTGGCATAGGACCAGGCAATGTTTCGTTCTGTTGTACATAACATTGGTAAGAGTTGGAGCTGACTTGGCAGCACAACAACATAATATGAGACAACTCTATAAAATAAAGGACAACTATTTACATTAAAATGAGGAGTAAAATTCATCACAACTTTCAACTTTCAGATTAGTCATTTAGAAGTGTTTGTAGAACACTTAAAATATGCCAGGAACTTTTCTGGCATATGGTAAGGTCTGGTGATACAATAGTGAACAACAACAGCAAAAAAAAAAAAAAAAAAATCTCCTTGTCCTCATGGAGCTTATATTCTAGTTGGGAGAAAAAGATAATTAAAAAACTAAATAAGTAAAACATATGGTTTTCTAGATGGTTCCATGCAGGAAAAATGAAACAGGAAAGGGAGATGAAACTTTTAGACGTATGTGTGTGTGTATGTGCATATGCATTATTTTACATAAAGAAAGACATGGTAACAAGGGAACATTATTTAAAAAAAAAATTTTAAGTCTTACAGAAGTGCTCTCTCTTTATGAATGAAGTTGACAGCAAGTAGCTGAATGTGATTCTGTATTGGGATGACTATGCAAAACAAGATTTTGTATTCAAGTCATTTTCACACCTGGAAAATTTTAAATATATCATTTCGAGGTCAAGATTTGCAATTATATTATTGGGAACATAAAAAACAGCTGTTACCATTTACTTCCATTAAAAATATTGGATGCTCATGATGTTCCACAGAAAAATAAAATGCCTAGACTTTGGAAAGGATAAGGAAAAATGAAAAAGAACAGAATGGAAAATTTTGTGTTATATAATGACAAGACATGATTTACCAAATGTAAACACACACACATAGTCATCAAAGGTAGGAGGGTAGGGGGCAAAAGGTTTGAAGACATACTACACATACACAAAACTATAACTGTTCTATAGTCTTAAGAGTCTCTTGGGGCACAGTTCCAAGTATTCCTTCTTTGCTTTACAAGTTGTGAAAAGCAGTTTAAAAGAAAGGAGCTGTGCATTTAACCTGTTAAAAGAGAAGCCTTGGAACCTATGGCTTTTGCTTCCATGCTTTACTCTATCATCATGTCCTTGGATGATATTAAGCAGCTTCCACTCTATCTTTATATCTTATTTCTAGAAAGCAGATATATGCATAAAGTATCTAGGAGCACAATGTTTCAGAGACAACAGACCATCACAGTCCACCCAAAGAAGGAAAATAAAGTAGTAGAAACAATAGACCAAGATACA